AATTTATGGGTCTTTTTCTGGTTTTCTGTAAATGCTTTAAAACACTGGATCTCTTTTTTTTCAGAGCTTAGAAGGTTTATTTATTTGACATTGGATTTAGGTTAATTCAGAACCAAGAGCATTCACTGAATGATTAATTTCAGTGGAAATTTTTAGGGTGAACTAAATAGTGTTAGTATTAACTTGAGGTGAACTAATTTTGTTTTATTTTAATTGACATCTTCGCACTTCCCTCGTGAAATGGATGGACAACACCTCTTACCCACCATCCGAAATGGGTTGTTTGTCTTACGCATCAACCAGAATGGGCTGTTTGTCTCGCCCACCGCTCGAAATAAATATACTGATTTTGAGGGGGAGCGCGCGCGAGTGTCAAAATTTTCAAAAAAGTTTCTCAAAACGCCTTTTTGGCCCGTTTGTTTTTTCAAAAAATTGCCTGCAGCGCTAAAAATTTGCTCAAAAAGGGTCTTATTTTGGGTATATACTATTTTGGGAGAGCTCAGAAAACCAATTTGGTCGACCTATAAAAAAAGGTCGACGAATTTTTGAAAATACGCCCCCCCCCCCCCCACACAAGAAAATCCTATATCCGCCCTGTAATTGATTATTATGCATAATAAAGAACTTAAGGAAAAAGGTTTTATAATCGATTAAAATTGATTATAATGAATTTATGTTTTTGAAAAATAACTTATTTTTCAAAAAAAAAACAAATTTGAAAAATAAATCGAGTATTATGGATTAAAAATCCATTACGTTGTCTAAATATGCCATGATAGTCGATTATGTAGACACCTTTTTTGTCAACAAAAAACCATTTTTACCCATGAAACCTCGTTGCGGGCATCTTGCATATTATAAAGTTCTATAGCACTATAAATTTCTATAGCAAAAATTAATAATTTGACTCAAAACTCTGATAGTGATTTTCTAATACTTTTCATTTTGCTGTTTTTTTTCTCCTCAAATATTTTCAAGTTAAAGCTCAATTCAGCTTACACCGATTATCAATTGGAAAATTTGTATGTATCTACCTGATCATTATTTAGACAAAAGCCAACAAACCATTCGTCATGGTGTATATAGGGAGAGTGATATATAGCGGCCGTATATATAGTTTTTACAAAATTATTATTGTGGATTGAACGTACATTACTTGGTCTAAATATGCTATGATAATCGATTATGTAGACAACTTTTTTGTCAACAAAAAAGCTAGGCGGACCTCACTTTCCTCGGGTATTCGACCCCAAAAAACACCTCATCCTTTTCTATGAAATCCATTCTTAGCTGATTGACCTTAAAACTTTTCCAAAGGCTTATTGGGGGTCAATATTTGTAGCAGGTGCCAAAATTCTACTTTTAGTCAAAGGTTTTGGAAAAGTCTTCAAAAAGGCTTTTCTTGGCTCGTTTTTTTAGGTTTTGGGAAAGTCACAATAAGGAAAGTCACAAGAAGATCAACAAAGTTTTTTAAAAAGTTGGCCACTCCTTTGAAACAAATCAGGACCCGATTTTGGCCGATCATCTGGAAACCAGAAAAATCTTTGATATTTTAGCTACAAATTGCAAAAACTGTTAAAAGTGTGAGTCTGATTACCGTCGTTAAACTTTGTGTGTGTTTGATTAAGCAAACGTGTTAAACTAGTGTGTGTCTGATTACCGTTGTTTAATAAAAACAAGTTGTGTACAAGTTAGATATTGAGTAACCAACAAGGTGTTGGTAAGTGGGAAAATATTCTAAAACAGCTCAAAAGAAACAGTTTGCCGAGTATAGCACGTTCGAAAAATCGTAATAGTTTATATTGTCAAAAATTAAAGCAGTTGCTCCTCGAAAATTTATACAACCAGAGAGCGGAAGTGACGAAAAAATTAGTCACTTTGATTAAAACAAAAGTTGTTCAATTTTTCAATCTTCCGCTAGACTTTCATCAAAACTAAATTAAAAGCTGAAATTCTGTATTTTTCTGTATTATGTTTTTTTTCTTAATATACTCTCTCTGGCAAACAATGTTTAAATTTACTCAGCATGATTGTTAGATCTCAAAAATTTGTGTTGCATGCTCGCACTGACAAAAAAAGGTTTTAAGGTTTAAAATCAATTTTAGCATGAAAAATGTATGTAGAGTAGAGTAAATTGAGATCGACTATAGCATTTAAAAAAGTTTGCAAAAAAAATAGAAAAGATCAAATTTGATTTGGATCATTTTAAAATCGATTTGTATCAACTCATATCCATTTGTTTCAGTGACTAGTTGTTTTTGTTTGTTGGGGGATTAAAACGGATTTGAACCGATTTAGATTTTTTTTTCCGAATTTTTTGATTTCATCAGTTTTGAGTTTCTGTTGCAATTATTCATTGCAAATATTTTTAACTCTTACATCCAAAGCGTCTGGTAGCAATTTAAAAAAACAGATAGTTTTTTTCCCGTTGTAAACAGCTTTGAAAATTACATTATGTTAGTTCCAGTTAAATTATACGAATGCTTTCGGTTGCATTGTTTGGACTAAAAATTCCAATTCCGAATTCATTCATCTAGTTCAAAATATAGTTTTTGAGTAATTGCAATGTTTGAGAACTATACAGAACTAAATTTTTGTTATCCTTGTCAAAATCTCACATATTGTTGCAAACTTTTGAAAAATGGCGAAGAACTTTGTATTTGGGTGTGTTTTAGTATTGAATTCGTGTCTGTTCAGGTTTTAGTTTCGGGTGTTTTAACCCAAATCAAGTACCACAAACAATCATCGAACTGGGTCAGGTGATATATCATATTAGGTCCCTTTCAGTCGTAATTCGAACGGCATTTCAAAATGTTGAAAAATCTACAGTTTTGTTGCTTAATTTTGAGCTTAGAATCTGATTTATAATGATGCTATTCTTGATTTGTTATATAGATTCTTTTTAGAATCAATTTTTGTTGAAATCATTTTGAAATAAGTTGTTAGACACTAAGGTTGATTGGCCAGGGGTCCTTTAAAAATGATTTAAATGGATTTTGGCAGGATTCTGATGGTTTTTATTGAATATGAAAATCCATATAAATTGATTAAAATCGATTTTTCGACACTTAAAAATGATCTATAACTTTAAAAAAAAAATCCAATCAAATCGTTTCACAATCCATTTCAATTCGTGAAATGTACATTGTTCATCGATTTGGATCGATTTAAAATCAATTTACTTCGAGCCAAAACCATTTGTGTCAGTGTGGTAATTCAAATGCTATATTCTTCTTCTTTGTAAAAATGGCAAATACTCTATTTTGTAAAAGCTGTTGCAGCATCGCACACGATAAATGACAAATTTTTGGTTCTAATTTTAATTTCGATGACGGTATCCCTGGAACTCGAAAAATATAATAATTTTTTCTAAAATCCTAATAAATCCTCAATTTTTTCATGAAGTGCATTGCATTTTCTATACTTCAATGCATTTGACTAATTAAAAATTAAAGAGAGTTTCAGATTTTTTACGTTTGCATGTTTTGATCCAAGACTGTGATGATGATGATCGAATAATTATTGTCTTAGCGCTTGTTTAATACTTGATTCCATTGAAAGCATAAACCATTTCACACTGATAATCGCTGGGAAAATTAAATGTTATGACTTAGATCAAAGTTTTGATGATTGCCAAATAACTATTCATTGTAATCGATAGCGAATTTAGGGGAGGGGTGGAGCGAGTTTTTTCAAAGCCGGCTTTCCAAAAATCTCCCCTCCCCTCAAGAGAATCCTAAATCCGCTGTAATGCTTAACAATTGGCCTCAAAACCTTTTTCCAAAGATTATCTAAGAACCATTTCGTTCTTAAATGACAAAAATGGTTGAATTTACAAAAATTACATTTTTGTATCATCACAAAATTTGTGTTCGCTTTAATAATTATGTCTTTTAGACCTTTTTTTTCGTGATTTGTCCTTTCTATTTATGATTAGAAAAAAGTATGTATAGAAAATCATTTAATATTGTTTTTATTTTAACCCTTTGTTTTTCAAGATTGATTGAATTGCTTGTGTTATTTTTTTGTTCCCGCTCCAAGCCCGGAAAACTCTTTGAAACAGTTCTATAGGTTTTTTTCGAAACCTTAGAATAGTTTATAAGTTTAAGATCTCAGCAACTCTTCAAAAAAACTTTCAACTCTTACAATTTGCGTCTGAGTAGTTTTTAGAAACCTTTGTTGATGTAACAATTGTTAGAATATTTTGTAAAGATAATCATCGATACTAGTAGGAATATCTGCTGGAGTGTCGCAGAAACCCACCGAGTTCACAAAAACCAACAGTTGCGGTCCACAGTTCCAAGAAATAGTGAATGAGACCAATGAAGCCAGTGAGTAGAAGATCCAGAAAACATTGCAGTGATATTAAAACATAATCGTGATTATGTAGATCTTTGTTGTATCTAACTGTGAGAAGAAAGTATAAGTTGAACATAATCACAAGCAGATGCATCGGACCCTGAAAAAATTGTTATTTCAGCACTCGCAGACATTTCTTAATAGTGCCGAGCAAAACATCCAATCTAAATATATATTGGCAATTTTTTTTTGATTTTGAGGTAATTTTGACAGACGCTAAATAGAATAGGTGAATTTTCAAAATTGAAAAAACACTATCAAAAAGTCAGGAAATTTTTTTGGCGATTAAAAACTTTTCACTAGATTAGTTAGTCGTAGGGTAGTCGCGGATCTAGGATTTGCAACAAATTTTGATAATTTTAGTCGAGGTTTTTTGATAAACTCCACATTGATTTTTAAAGCACTCTCAGAACATTATAAAGATTCTATTTTAGACAATTTATAGCGCCGAAAATTTTTTGATTATCTTCGCACACCACGATGCGTTATAGCATGTTAATTTTTTTCAAATGATTTCAAAAATTCTGTGAGTTTTTGGCAATCTGTCACAATTGCTGTTTTCAGAATTTAACTTTTGGCCAATTTGGCATGCCATCATATAAATCTACAGGTATTATGATTATAAGCCCATTATAAGCTATTATGATTACAAGAACTAGCCATCAATAAACTGTATAGTTTATTTATTTAGGAGAATAATATTATGCAGACAGGTAAACAATAAACCGCATGTACAAATCAAACCCACCAAGGATCATGCAAAAAACTATGCAGCTTATCGAGGCATGACCCCGAAAAAACCTATGACAGAAGTTGCGAAATAATATCCGACTTGATTATTCAAAAAACTAAGTCTAGAAGATCTCCACTATCTTTAAGAAACAATGAAAACAATTTTTTGAAATACCCATTTAGTTGATGCTCAGTTAATTGGCTTAGGTTATCTGGTATCAAGCTCGTTTGATTTCAAAAAATTATAACATTTAAGAGACACATTTTTCCATGAACGCTGCATTATTTGTGTCCTACTTTTCATGCTTGGTAAAGTTTTTGCCACTGAGGCCCGACGATTATTTAGAGATTCCAAATGATAAGTTTCAAGGGGAATTTCACCACGAAGTTGATTAAAAGTTTCTTTGAATATTTGTCTGAAATATAAGTCAAAAACGGTGTCAATCTCAAACGAATGTAGGATATATGAGGCATGCTCAAATTTTATCTTGAAACAAATAGTTTATTGTTTACCTGTCTGTATAATATTACTCTCGTGAATAAATAAACTATAAACTATAAACCAGATACAAAGACTTAATGTAATCCTACAAGATTAAACCAGAAAAAAAAGAGCTATTCCAAGAGGGCGACCAAAGGAAAGGGCACTTTTATTTTCGACTTGGGTAAGAAAAATGTGAACATTGGTGTTGTTAAGTTTGTCTAATTACGCTTGTTTAGTCATTTTTGAAAAAAAAAATGGAAACAAATTTCAAACTAAAAACCGTTAATAGTTATCAAAACCATAACTTATTTTTCGATGGCGTGCATGATTCAGATGTGAAATTTCTACGCAGCATAACTCTTGTCAACTCGGATAGGGTTTAAAAGATGCCAAAAATTGTTATAAAACAACAGGAGCAATTTAACTCTCGGCTAAAATTTTACAGCGAACTGATCACTGATTTTGAAATTGCATATTACGTTTTCATTTAGCAAACAAAATTCATTGTAAGAGATTAAAACTTGACATACCATGTAAATTTCTCTCCAGATCTTCCATTTCAGCCATCCATATATGTAATCCACGTCGTGTCGCCAGTGGCCAAACGGAACCCAAGTAGAAGAAGTCAGTCCCATAATGCGTCTAATACTGTATTGTTTCAGACTCGTTGTGCAAGTGTTTTGTTCGTGCAATTGTTTTATTCCGTGCTGGAAAAATAAACCATGTAGTTTTCACGGACTTCTTTAAAAACAGATGCGATTGGATTAATAAAGTTGTTTTAGACCATTGCGGACAGCTTCGAGGTTATCCAGCCTAAAGTGAGAAAAAAAATGAAACTACAAGAAAACAGCTTTAAGATGCAATTAACTACTAACAAAAGACCCAAAAAGAAGATTTGATCAATCCACAATGTGTGAAGTTTTCTCAAGTCTTCTTTTTGAGAGAAACTTTCATATATATTGGCATTTTAAAGCTCTTTTTTCTGCAGTGTCCACTCTGCTCAATTTAGGCTGGATAAGCTCGAAGCAATCTTAAAATTTTCACAATGGTTTAAAACAGTTTTTTCCCCAATTCATGAATAGTCTTAACAAATAATTTGAAACCTTCCCCGAACAGTTTTTAAAATGTGTTAAGGACAAAATAATCTACTTAATAGGCTATTAACAGTATTGAAAAAAAAATCACATCCTTTTTGAATGCGTGCGTGAAATGCTTCAAAAGCAATCACAGAACATCAAATCAAAGAATCCGCATTTTTATACGAAGCTAGGTCTTCCGCACTGGAGTTCCATGCATATTATAATAATCGATCATACGGGGCAGTACAACAGTGCCGAAGAACAACAGTGCCGAAGTACAGAGGCGCCGAAATGTAAAATGATGTTCAACAGTGCCGAAAATTATTTTTAATACTGTTCTTACTCATCCCAAATTACTCAAATATGTCCTGAAGTTGAAAAGACACAATCGGCTATTTTGGTTGCTGTCGCTTGTTAAACAAAAAACACTTCCCCGCGCGGTGTCAAGAATTTTTTCTGAACAAACAATTATCGCAGCAAACTGTCTAACTTTCGGTGGAATATGTGAAGGACCGAATGCGCGAAAATAAAAATCAGCCAATCAGATTTCAATAATCTAAAATTTGGAAATAAAATTTGAAAATCTGAAAAAAAGGTAAGAATTTCCAGGGACTTAATGTTGATATTGGCCAAAAATGAAACCGGCAGAAATATGCAAATTTTTCAAATCGTCACTGACCACCGCAAAATTGGAACAAATTTTATATTTTAAGGGTTTCGTTATGAAAGATGCAAAATATTGCTTCATTTAATTCGTTTTAGTTGAAAGGCAATTGATTTTTTTTTGAAAATTGACTTTCGGCTAATTTTGCGTTGGTCCTTCGCCCACGAGTTTTTCGCCCATTCGATCCTTCGCGTATGAGAAAAGCCCCCTAAATTTCTTTTCGATTTCGCTCCAAAACAAAACAGTAAGCATGCCAAATTGCCAGCAATCACAAGCAGAACTCAAAAATTTTTAAAATATCATCAATTTATGGCACCGTTGAACACATTTTCATTTTCGGCACTGTTGTACTTTGGCACCGTTGAACGCCCCAATCATACTCGATATTCACAGTCAATCTCCGTAAAAATGTAAAAATGAAAGAATTAATCAACTTCTTTTGATTAAAAATTGATTATATTCCTACTTTTGGTCAAATTTTACTCGATTATAATAGATTTGGGATCACTTAACAATCGCCTTTCCTTTTCAGAAAGGGGGTAGATTGTTAAGTAGATTAAGCTAGTGGAATTTTTGACCAGTCAGAATGCCGAATTATAATTCCCAATACAAAACTCTAACGCTAATTTACTGTATTTATTCATAGGGGTGGAGATTCTTAAATAGATACCATAAGCGGAAGATGGTTTAGTAAATTTTAGATTTGTCAGTATTATAACAGTTTTTCTAAATTTGTCTAAGCTTTTCGCATACAATACAATATATTCAAAAATTGACTGGCTTTTGTTGAATTAGAAAAGCACAACAATGATGTTTACTTTGGTTGAGAAAACTGTTATCTTGTTTTCATCTTCTAATTTTTTCTTTACTTGTTACCTAGTTTTCATCTTTGAGAAAACTGTTACTTTGTTTTCATCTTTCCATGTTTTTGTTAAAATTTTTTTCTCATAAATTTTTTACTTTCTAAAATCTACTGATCTTTATTTAAAACCCTCCCTTATCCAATTTGCCTCCTTTTGTCTTTGTCCGATCCCCCATCTTATATAGACCCAAACAATCCTCCCTACTTATTTACTCTTCTCCCACGTTTACAGATTTTGCTACTTCCCAAAATAACTGAGAATGCCTTCGAGGTTTACTGGATGTTCATCAACCCCACGTTTACGCCACAGTTTTTATTCCAACATACTGGGTTTCAAAAATGTTCAAAAAAGTTGGACTTTTAAACCACAAAAATCGATTTCTGTGTCAAAAATAATGGATTATAATCGAATCTAAAGAAAATTATTGGTATATTTTCGCAAAAAATTAATACATTTTTTTGACAATAAAAAAAATTTCATTGTCTAAATGATATGTCGAAATGTTCACATCTGTAATTGAGTTTAGTGGTTAATTTTGATCTTAGATATCTTTTATAATCGATTAGTATCCAATTTACTAAGATGCGGGATCTTACTAGACCGATTTTTTTCCAGACCAGAAAATAAAATATATCCAACTGCTTACTTCACCGCGCGTATTTTAGCTTATCTCAGACACAAGAGGTAATGTGCGCGTAAATCAGTTGTTACCGCTAAACTAGATTGCTCCGAGGAAAAAACAGCAATATTTTTGCTTAAAAGCGGCAAGAAAATTGTGTTTCTTCCAACTTTCCCAATTCTCCCAACAGCGTTCCAATTACTAAATTATTAAATCCACCGAAGCATTGCCACTATAACTTATCTTTTCACTCATAACTGACTGATAAAAAATCAGTAATTTATGCATCTAATAAGGCAGATAAAACACAGATAAAATGATTAAATTGTAGATCAACTCGACAGGCTTATGTAGCTATGTGGAAATGTTGACAAAATTGGGAAAGAATCAATATGGTTCATGTGGTTTCATATCTGATTATCGAGTTAATCGTCGATTTATTCGGACTGCTTTTGAAAGTACCTGATGTCGATTTCCTTAAAAATGATAATTCTAAAAAAATGAAAATGACAGTAAACTGTTTTTTTTTTGTAAATCATCCCTTTACCCTCAGACGCCATGTTAAAAGCTAAATTTTATGGTTTTGTCTATTAAGCATTATTTATTTGGACCAATTAGCCCGCCTCGTTCCAATTTGAAATGATATACCCTAGCCGGATCCATCCCCACCCATCGGATCACCTCCCCCCACCCCCCCTATTGCAATAGGAGGGGAAATAGCTAAAAAGGTACAAAATTCAGGTATGCTGTACAGCTCAATAGTTTCTTCATGGGGGAGATTCGTTACAAGTTACCAAATAGGATATAGTTAACAAGATACTAGAAATCTAGCAAGTTGTTTTGATCGTGATTGGAATTTACTCAGAATGGCTATTCTCAAACCCTATCCATCTTTTTTTTAAAACTGATCACAGTTGAAATGCTTTTCTTAATAATTTTAAGCTCAAAAATTGATATACTTGAAATGCTCAATTATGTTGGATTTTTAAACCAAAATAATCGATTTCTGTGCCAAAAATAATGGATTATAATCGAATCTAATGAAATTTATTGGTATATTTTTGCAAAAAATTAATACACTTTTTGACAATATAATAAATTTCATTGTCTAAATGATATGTCGAAATGTTCACATCTGTGCGTATTTCAGCTTACATCAGACACGAGAGGTAATGTGCACGTAAATCAGTAGTTACCGCTAAGCTAGATCTAGATTGCTCCGAGGAAAAAAACAACAATAACTTTGCTTAAAAGTGGCAGGAAAAATGTCTTTCTCCCAATTTTCCCAATTCTCCCAACAGAGTTGGGAAATATCTTTTTTTAATAATTCTAATCTCAAAAATCGGTATACTTCATAGGGCTTAGAAATTTTTTCAAAAATTGTTAGTTTGACAGATCAAAAAGACTGTCTGAAAAAATACACCTAATCAGTTACTATATTCAAGTATTGTCGCAAAACTCGGAGCAAAATTACTGCACTCACAGCTATGGGAGGATCTAGAATGTTTAGAATGTTTGTCGAAGAGGGAGAGGATTTTCAAAACACTAACGAAAAGTTGGTCAATTTTTCGATTTTCTTCAAAGCGATTAAAATTTTTTTGAAGCTCTACAAAAACGAGTTGACAAAAAATTGCTTTTTTTCTGCGCGTACTGTACCACCTCACAAAACGCCCCCAAAATGAAAAGAATTTATTGTCAAATTTTGATACTGTTTCTATGCCCTAACCTTGTACGCCTAGTAGTCGCGAATTTTCTTAAATAAATTTATTGACATCAAAGCTTAATTTTCGCAAAGTATGGTAGCAAAGCTATTAATTAGCTGCTTTATCTACAGAAACTATTTTTTAATAGTAAAAAATTGGCATCTGCAAATTTAACACTTTTTCATAGACAAGCTATCTTTTGGCAAAACAGTTTGTTGCACAATTTTTTGAACAACATCAAACTTATTTCATAGATGCGGGTTTGGAGTTGCTCACCTTGATAAGTGATTGCTCACCTAAAGTTAATCATTTCATGCAGTTAGACAAAGCAGAAAATGGGAGGTCGTATATTGGTGACCCGATGGCGGTGAAAGATTTTCTTTTTCACAAAACATTTATACCACAAGCATAAGTATTCCGCACTTCTTCTTTAATTTCTTGGACACCGCTTAAGCTAAAACTTACAAAGTTTCTTTATTTCAAATAGTTTTGTTTGACTATGATTTTTTTCGAATTTTACTGAAAAAGCGGTCAAGCGTGAAAAATGACATAAGCACAACCGGGCCAATTTTTTAACTGAGGCTTTGCAGGGCAGTAGAATTAGTATCAACGCGCGGATCTAGTATTTTTTCAGGAGGGGAGGCAGATTTTTGCTTTAAATTTTGAAACATTTAGTTTTCACTTTAAAATAGCGTTGCTGGGGAATTGAATGCTTTCGAGATGATATGAGAATAATCTTTATTTTTCATTTTAGTTTTTATGTTTTTACTTCGCCTAAACTGACAGCTAAGTTTTTGCAGCTAAAAGTCAACTTTTTTTCAAAATTTTGATCATCAGTTGAAATAGATGCAAAGTTTGAAATTATCGCCAGAATTTTTAAATTCATTTTAGGCATTTTGATGCGTTTGAATTCACCGTAGCAAACATATTTTAGTTATAATGAAAATTTTCAGAAAATGACATACTTGATTTCGGAAAGCAATAAAAATCCAGCCAGAACAATTGTTTATGGTTTAACGCTGAGTTTTAAGAATTTTCAGTAAATGAGATAAAAAAAAAATTTGGCACAAAAGACACAGGTTACAAAACGGGAAACTTTCTCTGTTGAAGATCTCTAATATCAGCAGGGCTGCCGCATGAAACATTTATCCACAATACTCTAACTCTAAAAAATTCTTGTATTTTGTATGAGTTTTAATGAAGATTTTCATTCATGAAAAGACTGAATTCATCAAAATAACGGGCGCCAATAGACCTGATGTTCAGATGTGGCTAATTTCAATGCATGCTAAAGAGTTTATTATAAATTGCTTTTATGTACATGTAATATGTTTCACGTTTTCTTGCATCTTAATTCCCGCCACTTTTTACGTGATTCTTTCCTGCTAAAATCAATCATAATTCTTTCTACATTATCCAATTCAAGACGTATTCTAAACTCTCGGTTTTGAATATAAATCATAAGTTCAACACAGAACATTTGGTGACCCCGACGTGATATCATTCACATAATCCTTCAAGATGTCAACTCCCAGCACGGAAGACAATCAAGCTACCCTAGCAAGGGAAAGAAGTACATCGTGGTGTTGTCACTAAGTACATCAACGACGCCAATGCAATCATGACAAAGGCTCTTTTCCAGTTCCCCCCTTTCATTTTTTCTGAAATTCATTACATGAAAGTCTTTTAAAAATAATTTTTAATGTTATAAACTGCATTAAAACGTGTCAGCGTGAACAGCTGAACCAATTTTCATAACATTTCTAACATGAAAATTGCCGTGTGAACAATTTTTGACCATCTTTTTTTGTAATTTAACAAAGGGGGGGAACTGGAAAAGAGCCATGGCAAATCCTACTGACCAAGTATCGAAGCAAGATTTTGAGGCACTCAAAGTTGTTCTGATGCACTTGGACAGGAAGCTCATCACACTCAATTCCATCAACAAGTCGATTGAAGCTATCACTCCAGATTCTTCACTAGTAAATGAAATAGAAGAAACTGAAAAGAAAACAGCAAACTGGCAAACAGCAATCTATCAAATATCAAGTTTCATTGGTGAAGTCGAAAGGCATATAGCACCAGCTCCACTTTCGCAACCTCAGCCATCGCAGAGCGTTCAATCTAAGCAGGTACAACTACCTAAACTCGAATTGCCTACATTTTCTGGTAAATATGTGGAATGGTCTTCGTTCTACGATCTCTTCACAGCGTCTCTTGACAAGAATAATTGTCTCAGTGATGCGCAGAAACTAAACTACCTCAAAGCAGCCCTCAAAGATGAACCTGCCAGAATCATAGCTTCTTTGTCAATCACCGACGCAAACTACGCCATTGCTAAACAACAGCTCATAAAACGATACGACAACAGACGCTCAGTAACCAATGCTCATATTCAGGAGTTTCTTGCATTTTCGGCATTGAAAAGCGAAAATGTCAGTGCCCTGAGGAAACTACAGTCGAAGACTGTGGAGCACCTGTCAGCCCTTCAATCTCATAAAGTGGATACTAGTGCGTACATCTACGTATATCTCATTCTAGAGAAATTGGACCCGGAAACAAGAAGACAATGGGAGCTTCAGAATCCTGGTCCACAACTACATGATTTGGATGATGTACTCCAGTTCATTGATCAACGAGCACGATCCTTAGAAGCTTCACCTCATGCTTCTATACAGCCTAGCAGCCAAGCAAAGCAATTACAGTCCAATCAGAACAAAAACAACCATTCCAATGTCTACCACTCAACTACAGACAACTGTCTTTGCTGTAAATCCAAGAATCATAAACTATTCTCCTGTAATTCATTCCGAGAAAAGACGATAGATGAGCGTTTTCAAGTTGTCAAGAAGAACAAACTATGTGGTAACTGTCTACGTTCTGGTCATTTTGCGAATCAATGCAACTCAACAAGCACATGCAAGACATGTCAAGGCAAGCACAACACGCTGCTACACAGGTCCGCCCAAGCGATCAATCATATTGGCATCAGGAGACCCGAGGAGACGGATACCACCCTACCCACTGCGCAGGTTGCATTCAAGGATCGTCATGGTAATGTACAATATTTTCGCGCATTACTAGATCAAGGTTCAACTGCTTCGGTCATGACACGCCATTGTGCCCATCAACTAGGATTGCGTTGTCAGAAAGTAACTACTAATCTTCAATCCGAGGGAGAGACAGTCTCCGCACAATCAAATTCAGTTGTTACTGCTGAAATGCTTCCCAGATTCTCCAAATCTTTGACAGGAGTATTCATTGTCCTGCCTCGTGTGACCTGCAACCTCCCACTGGCTAACGTGAACATCGGCGGGTGGAAGCATATCAACAATCTTGATATGGCTGACAGCAGTTTTCACAAGCCTGGCAGAATTGATGTTCTTCTTGGAGTGGACGTTTACTCAGCACTTCTCAAACCTGGATTGATCAAGTTGAGCGATAGAATTTGTCTTCAAGAAACAGACTTGGGCTGGATTGTATCTGGTGCAACCTCTTCAAATTCATTGCAATCGAAGCATGTCTCTATGACGACCCACAATACGGAAGAAATCGTGAATCACTTACTTATGCAAGAAGATACGGATCAAATTCTCAAGAAGTTTTGGGAATTGGAAGAAGTCCCTAAGAGTTCTCGTCTAACTCAAGAAGAAAGGGAATGTGAAGATCACTTCACTAAAACAACAATGCGGGATGATGAAGGGATGTACGTTGTCAAACTTCCAGTAAAGGACGGCGCCCCTTCTCTCGCTGAGAGCTACCAACAAGCTGAACGACGCTTTTTTTTACTTGAACAACGTCTCTTAAAGGACAAGCAACTGAAGGATAAGTTCGAAGCATTTGTAAACGAATTCATTGATCTAGGACATCTAGAACTCGTTCCCGCAGCAGAAATCAATAAACATTGCGCAGACGTGTTTTACCTTCCGCATCACTCTGTGACTAAGGACTCTAGTACGACAAGTAAGCTTCGTGTTGTCTTTGATGCTTCAGCCAAAACGAGTGGTGGAGGCCCATCTCTTAATGACACACTCATGACTGGTCCCGTGATCCAAGATAGTTTGTTCAATATACTCAGTCGCTTCCGAGTTCATCAAATTGCCTTATCTGCTGATGTGGCCAAAATGTATAGACAAATCTGTTTAGCACGACCAGACAAGGACTTTCATCGAATGCTCTGGCGAAACGATCCAAAGAAACCCATTAAGACCTACAGGATGACTCGCGTGACCTATGGGATACGTTCATCTGCATACCATTCAACTAGATCCCTCACGGAAACAGCTTTAGATGTTGACGACGAAATCACCGCTCAAGTCATAAGAAACGATTTTTATGTCGACGATGCTCTTACAGGTGCAGACACTGTGGAAGAAGCAGTCGTATTACAAAATAATCTTATATCAACACTCAAGAAAGGTGGTTTCGATCTTCGAAAGTGGTCAAGCAAATGGTCTCAATCACAAGATTACCGACTTCATTGCAAGAGGCACCCGAAGCCTACACATTCTGTGACAAACAGTACTCAATCAAGACCCTTGGTGTGAAGTGGCACCCAATCACTGATCAATTTTCGTTCACTGTAAGAAGAATGCCTGAAATATCAAAGTTGACAAAGAGGAAACTGCTGTCTGATGTTTCCACATTCTACGATCCCATGGGGTGGCTTTCTCCTACAATCTTACAGTTCAAGATTCTCTTGAAAGAATGCTGGCTGGCTGGATCTGATTGGGATGAACGACTTCCGGAATCTATTGAGATGTCATGGAGAAATTCTAGAGGAGAACTTTCTTTGTTTCAAAATTTAACAATCAACCGACCTTTAACACATCAATCGCCTATTGTTGAAATGCAACTTCATGTGTTTTGTGATGCCTCAGAGCGCGCATTTGCTGCAGCAGTTTACTCTCGTTGTACGGATGCCAATGGAAATGTTGTTGTAAACCTCCTCTCCGCTAAGACAAAGCTCTCCCCATTAAGCAAATAAGTATACCAACATTGGAAATTAGCGCTGCTGCCTTAGGCTGCAAATTTTTGAAAGCATGTCTGGATGCATTCTCTTCTCAGAAGAAGCGAATGCTCAAACCCATCGGATGGACTGATTCGACTGTAGTTCTGTCGTGGATCAACGATCACCCAGCAAAATGGTCATGTTTTGTTGGTAATCGAACCACAGCAATACAAGAATTTATTCCACCTGCCTCTTGGAAGCATGTTCCCTCAGCCGAAAATCCAGAGGATTGCGCCTCCAGAGGATTGGCCCCTATTCTTCTCCTTTCTCATAAACTTTGGTGGAATGGCCCTTCCTGGCTCGCCGAAAATCCAATCACATGGCCCCAACAACCGTCAATCAAGAGTAACGAGGATTCAGAGAGACGCAAGCGAACGATTCTTCATGCGTATAAGGTACCTCTATGCCAACCATTCGAGAGCAGGTTCTCTGTTATGTCTAGACTTGTACGAGTGACTGCATGGCTACTCCGAGCTTCAAAGTTGTTAAGGAAAATTACAACTCCTAAAGGCAATCTTATGGCGATGAACTCGTCACGGCACTACACGCACTTCTAGCAAGCCATTAAAAGGACTTTTTCAATGATGAGATCTCGCAACTATCTGAGGAGACATCCTACAGAGGAGCACTCCTGTCGCTGACGCCCTTTGTTGAAAAAGATGCGGTCTTTTACGAGTGGGGGGAAGGTTAGCGCAAAGTGATCACAGCAACGGTTTGAAGTTTCCAATACTAATAGACGGCAAATCACATCTAGCAACTCTGTTAATCCGTCAAGCACATACCGAAACCATGCATGGAGGCCCACAAGGAACGCTGTCACATTTACGTCAAAGATACTGGATAACCGGTGGCAAAAAATTAATAACTAAAGTGACACAATCATGTATTACTTGCCGACGCTTCGCAAGATGGCTAGCAAGTGCAAACCCAGTTATGGAAGACCTTCCCCAGGAACGTACAACCCAATCACGACCTTTCACGCATGTTGGCATTGATTTTGGTGGGCCGATTTCTCTCAGAACCTCTTCAAGTCCGTGGGAAAAGCGTACATTGCGTTACTTGTGTGTTTCACCACCCAAGCGGTCCACATTGAACTTGTCTCTTCCCTATCAACCCCATCTTGTGTATCAGCCTTGAAACGGTTCATTGCTCGACGGGGAAAGCCTGCATGTATATACAGTGACAATGCTACCAACTTCATTGGTGCACGAAATGAGATAATAGCATACGTGAAATTCTGGGCAACGACAAGAAGAACTCTGCCGCAAGCTTCATCATACAACAGGGCGTTGACTGGGTAACAATACCACCACGCGCGCCACACCTTGGCGGACTTTGGGAGGCCGGAATCAAGAGCTGTAAGAATCATTTAAGAAAGGTTGTCGGAACTCAAGCTCTTACATTCGAAGAACTCTACACTGTCCTCATCCAAATCGAAAGTATTATGAATTCAAGACCCTTAACACCACTTTCGAATGATCCTATCGACGTCACAGCCTTGACGCCAGGTCATTTCCTTATAGGAGCACCCTTGACGGCACTTCCTGATAGTGTACCGAACAAGGAGACAGCCTCCGTGACGCTTAAGCAACGTTGGTTACTCACTCAACAAATGGTTAACGATTTTTGGAAACGATGGTCCAAAGAATATCTTACAACACTTAATCAAAGAAACAAGTGGAAAATACAAACAAGGAGCCTTCAAGTTGGCGATATGGTTCTAGTTGCAGAAGACAACATCTCACCGCTTCAGTGGCCCTTAGCAAGAGTCATGAAGACTTTTCTTGGAAACGACGATATAGCACGTGTTGTACAAATCCGTACATCTAAAGGAACCTATAACAGACCGGCTACAAAACTTCATCTACTGACTAGCTCTTGTGACAAGTGATGTGGTTAATGACAAGTTAACAAATTGCAAGCAATTGCTTTATGATTCAAATTGTATACAGAACTAAACTATTTATTCTCATTTCTGTTTCTCAGAGTTCGGGTGAATTTCTTCTTTCGCTTAGGCATCTTCTGACTTCGGCTTCCTGGATTCAATACCGGATGAGCTACACCTGTTGAGTCTGTGTACTGCACTTGTCTTTTCTGCATTACCTCAGTAGAATCACTGGTTTTTATGGACCATGTTAGCAGCACACTATAATCATACGTCAAAACCATGTGGCCAGTAGAATACGGTAGATATATAGCTTCCCCTGCAAATGAAAATATTTCAAGTATTGTCTTAACATTTATTCAGTATTATCATTACCTGGTTTTTGCACATGAACCCACAGGTCTTTACGATCCATTCTCAAGGACTCGGTTAGTCAACTGGACGGCGACCATCGACTTTCTGGTTTTCGTAGCAGAAAATTGGTTACTCTTCTATTCGTTGTGAAAAACCAAAGTTTCTCACCACGCTGAAGTTGCAACCATCGATATGCCTGGGTGTAAATGATATGCCTCTAGAAATTAATAAAAAACGGATCGTACACTTCTTCATCTTCCCTACAATGATTTTCCCATACTGATATTTCACCATTTTGACTGTTCTTTGGCACAACGGGCTGATAAACATCATTTCCAAAACCACAATCCAAGCCTGGTTCGCCTACGTTAAACTCTCTTTGCAAGTCGTCAAATCTTTCACTCTTGGAAGCTGTGTTAATAGCATCATTTTGGAATCTGATTACCTCATTCTTTATAACCCCGGGCTGTTTGGGATTCTTCAATAACTCAAAGACAGATTTGACAGGCAGAAATTCGTATCTTCCTTTCACGGCCATCTCCATTAACTCATCAGCTGCTTTACACTCTTTCACAAAATCGGCAATACTCATCGTCTCATCAGTGGGTACATCAAATGTCGCAAACATATCTGAAAGAAAAACCATTTGTCAAAAAACAGTCTCCTTAGAGCTCTCATTATTAGTATGTGACTATTATCTTTTGAGAGGATCTCTCAAGGTGGGCTGGATGTTCAGACGTGTCTAACTTCAATGTATGCTAAAGAGTTTATTATACATTGCTTTTATGTACATGTAATATGTTTCACGTTTTCTTGCATCTTAATTCCCGCCACTTTTTACGTGACTCTTTCCTGCTAAAATCAATCATAATTCTTTCTAGATTATCCAATTCAAGACGTATTCTAAACTCTCGGTTTTGAATATAAATCATAAGTTCAACACAGAACACCTATATTTGAGGAGATAATAATTCAAAAACAATTTTTTTGGTCAAAACAATTCCTTTATGCAAATTGCTCGCAAACGATCTTTCTGGTTCAATTTTTCAAATTTGTTTTCATTCCGTTCTACAATTCTCTTATATGTGGAATTTTGTATGTATGTTTCCGGTCCCATTAAAGCTCCAATCTTATCTAATTTTGATGCAATAAAACTTTTTTATGGCTTCAGGGATTAATCATTTTCAAAGGAGTTTAAATTGTAACCCTTACGGTCAGGGTTCACAGAAGTTGCCACCTTTTGATTTCAACGAGGAAACGGATGAATTTTTCTTCACGTTGTTTTGTTCGTTTTTTTCTGCAAATATTTAGGATTCAGGGTTCACAATATTGACAAAAGTAGATGAATTATTTGAAAAGTTTAACCAGGCCAAAATGTGAGATGTCGTGTTTTGAAAGCGGAAATTAGCCAGCATATTATGACTAGTTTTAGAGGTGTCCTTCCTGTGCAAATGACCTCACAAACAAAATAAAGAATTTACATTTTATGAGCTCAAATTAGTTTTTTGGGAAGCTGACGGGCTTGACCTACCCATTATGCTATCTAAAAGTGACGAACAACAGAATGAACAAAGTTACTCGGTTCGGCGTCGAGAAACTGTAATATCTGTTTTCACAACAAATACACTAAAAATTCTTGGGAGCTTATCCCAGTAATCTGGACAAAAATTACACACCAAAAAACTGCTTATGAAACTCCTATGCTTCGGTTTAGCAGTAATTTTTTGCGAAATATTTGCTGAATTGGTTCTTTTGTTGACTGAGTTCGATCATTAGCGCAAAATAATTTTTAAAAAAAATTGCCGTTTTTCTACGCCAAACTAAGTAATTTTGTTATCTATGTTATTTGTCACTTTTTGGGAGTATCTTGAGTAAGTCAAGCTCATCAGCTTCTTAGAAAAACTTATTTGAGCCTATAAATTTAAATTCCTAATATTGTTTGTGAAATTGTTCTCACAGAAAGAACACCTCTAAAACTAGTTATGATATGCCGGTCAATCTACGCCTTCAGAACAAGTTTTCTCATACATAGTCCCGGTTAAGCCTTTTCAAATAATTTCATCTACCTTTTGTCAAAGTTTGGACCCTCATCTTAAATAGTTGCAGAGAAAACGAAAAACGTGAAGAAAAAGTTGAAATCAAAATACTTCTACATGTCATAGCTATATAAGCTTTTAAATAAACTACATCTCTAATTTATGTTTTTAAGTGAGCAATTAACGTTGGAAAAATATGGATTGACATTATAACAGTTCAACCGCAGACTTGTTTTTGTAAACACAAATTTATGTGACAGA